GTTACCTATCCGAGTTCTCACGGGAGGCGGTGTAGGGGGTTTAACCGGTGGTTTGACCGACGGTGTAGGAGGTTTAACCGGTGGTACAGAGACGGGAGGTGTTGGGGTTGGTTTAACAGGTGGTTTGACCGGTGGTGCCGTAGTCGGGGGTACTGGGGTCGGTGATGTAGGGGGTTTAACTGGTGGTGTCGTGGGTGGTTTAACCGGTGGCGTTGGGGATTTGTATGTAGGTGGTTGGACCGGTGGTGTTGTGGGTGGTTTAACCGTTGGCGTTGGGGGTTTGATCGTAGGTGGTTGGACCGGTGGTGGTTTAACCGTTGGTGGTTTAACCGGAGGAGTTGGAAATGAAACCGGTGGTTTAGTTGGTGTAACCGGAGTGGTAGGAGGTATGACCGGAGGTGTTGTGGTGGGTGGTTTAATCGGAGTAGTTGGCAGTGTGGGAGCCCTGTACGGTGGTTTTATGGTCGGAGACGGCGGTTTGAGTGCCGGAGACGGAGTTGGCGTTGGTAAAGAAACCTATAAATTACAAACATATACCAAAAAATTTTAATTTCATTAACCAATAAAAAGTTTTTTTTGCTTAATATGAATACACATATTTAGAAGTTTTTTTTTTTGAGACTTGCATATTTAGAAGTTAAACCGGAAATTAATTAATTAGAAACATACCAAAGCCATTGATTCCTCATCTGAAGCAGCAAAAACAACCTGCTCGGTGATTAATCAAAATTAATATAGTTAGTTAAAATGTCAAAATAACGTACGTGCATAGATATTTCTTTTGTGTTCTTTATAAATGAAAACAACAATAACAATTTTTTTTTGTTAAAAGAATAAAATAATGACTTACATTTGTAAAGACATGAAGAAACATGAAGACTGAAAGAAGCGAGACAGCCATTTTTGTGGGAGATGAGGAAAATGGTGAAGTCACACGAAGAAGACCATTGGTCTTTTCTGCTATAAATAGAAGTTTTTTTTTTTTACGTTATTAATTTATCTTATTAATATATTCATAAAACATACTAATAACCTAATTTAAATGGATAGTAGTAAGTGTTAGGTCCAGAGCAGTTATTATATGCAATGGATGCCAGCTTTTGAACTTTCACTGCATCATAATTTCTCAGAGCTCGAGGCACAAAATATCAGATTCCCAAAATGGATTATAAAATGGATTATTCTACAGTATAAAAAATCTACAAGAAATTGACACTTTATTCGTACATCAACTTGGAATACTTTATTAAGAAAAACAATTATTTTAATTATATGCACTTTGGTGAAAAATACGTGGATATATTTGAGTTCCCCAAGAAACTAGTGGATGACAAATTGACATTAATAAATTTTAACTTGTGAATTTTATAAATAGCTAGCATTCGATTTGGCCCATAAGGCTGTGTCACATATTTCATACCTTCGCTTCGATTATTGCACCAGTGAAATGAAAATGTAATTGTCGTTTATTGAGCTTTTGTTAACATCATAACATGTCCTACGAAATTACCAATAAAGTGTTTTGAATTTATCTAAGTTATAATATCTCGTTTATATTTTCGTTAAAAATATCTAAAGTGTTATCAAATCAGAGATGGACAGTAGCACATGAGGTCCTTAAATTGTTTCGGTGGTTATTATTTATTAGTTCTGATATTTCGGAAAATGGTTCAACAGTTCATTAAAGTGAAATCGAGGAGTCTAGATTTTTTATCATTATAGATGTCGTGAGTACACTTTCCTCTTTTTTGTTAACACATGATCATTTTTGTCACGAATGAATGTTTTGCTTCTACTTAACACAATTCCGCAAATTCCGCAATTATCATTTAATTTAACATATTATTCAACAAATTCTACAATTCAGCAGAAATTTAGCAAATTCTATAATTCAACAAAAAAATTCAGCTAAAATTATACAGTTACCATTTACACCAATAGAGTTTATAATTTTAAGATTTAGACTCAAAAATTTTATAATTAGTGACATTTTTGTAAAAAAACAACCCAAAAATGGTATTTTGCAAATGTACACACCAAAAGTGGTATTTTTACAAACGTATACACCAAAAGTGGTATTTTTGCAATTGTCCCTTGAATAGTATGATTAAATCTTACTAAATTTGCTTGATAATTCTAAAATAATACTGTAATATTTTAAAAATTACGTTTACTAAAAAATAATTCAATTTCAATAGCAAAATATTATATCATAAATTATGTATATAAATTTGTTTTATCAATCTATTAATTTATTTAAGAGGCAATTGCAAAAATGTCATTTTTGGTGTGTAAAAGTGTCTATTTGCAAAAATACCACTAATTATGATTTTTTAAAACCTAAATCTTAAACTTATAACCCTAAAAAATGTTTTGACTCCTTAAACCCCTTAAATCCTTAAAACTAAACTCTAATACAACATAGTTAACCCAAACATAAATGATATAATGAAATTTATTTTTTCAAAAAGTGGCATTTTTACAAAGATTTTTAAAAGGTGGCATTTTTGAAAAGTGGCATTTTTTGAAATTTGTCTTTATTTAATTAATTTTTTTTTCAAAAATTCAGCAAATTCCGCAGTTACCATTTAAGTTTGATATTATTCAGCAAATTCCACAAGAAATC